AGAAACAATGGCTTCTACCAGCTCCCCTGTTCAGGAGAAAGCTGTCTCTCCAGCCTCCATCTCAAGCCAGACAACTCAGTTCCCCACCATTTGTCCCTGCCTCCTTTCCAGCTGCTGCTTCAGTGCTGGAGCTCAGAGCGAGTGATTCCATTGGTGGGTAAGTCTGCACACACTCCCTTTAAGAGGAGCGCCTGGGAGTGCAGCCGCACTCAGTCTCACTCAGTCACAATCTCCACTGGTTTTCACAACCAGAAATTATGGGGACTTCTCTCCCTGGCACTGGAACCCTGGGCTGGGGTGGGGCTGGGATATCTAGCCCTTCTAGGGGATGGGGAGGGATCCCCACAGCCTAAATACACCTCCCTTAATGGTCACATGTAGGTGTGGGACCAGCCCGTTCCGCATCTCTGACCTTCATACTAGTCTGGAGGTGGCTTCTTCTGCTTGATTTTAGGCGACTCTGAATAATGGTTGTTTTGTAGATTAGTTGTAATTTTGATGTGGTTGTGAGAGAAGGTAAACTCAGCATTTACCTACTGCGCCATCTTGGTTCCTGACCATCATCTTTTAAAATTTCATTTTATAATGTTTATAATATATAAAGCAAAAGAAATTGAGGATTAAAAGGATATAATATTCCATGTTCAAGCAAGAGCTATCCTGGTTCTCTTTTTTTCACACTTCAAAATGCTTACTCTGTTATTATTAGAAACCACTGTAAATAAAATGGAGCTTTAAAAGAGTACCAGTGGGTTCAGGAATGGAAGAAGGAAAGGAAAGCTGTGAAAACAGAATGACACTCTCAAGGATGAATCTTAGCTACTTTTAAATTGGATTCCTTAAACCAAAAACATCTTTCTCTACATTGCCTGAATTTTTTCATGTTACATTATGCTGATGGAAATTGTACCAAATTGGATTAAGTGTTTGGGCTAATGGCATTCTCTTTTAACACTTCTTAGTGAAGTTGAGGAAGGGAAAGATCCTTTTTTATCTCTTGCTTTTATTCCCAAAATCTAGAATTCAAGTTAGTATTATTAGATTATATATTTAGCTCAATATAGACATCTTTTGTGGGAATACACTGTGAATTTAAGTATCACTGGTAATATGGTTGGAATCAGGCAAAACTCTTCCAAAATTAAGTATGTTTGATTGCATCTCTTTTCTTTCAGTTTAGAGTCATATTTGAAAATGAAAGCAGAGATGACAGTGCCTAAAAACAGCTACATAGTTAATATCCTTAGGCCCTATTATTTTTAGTAAAAAAAGTTAACTGACTTGGGTAGATAAGGAAAGACTCAGGAGTGTGTAAAAATTTGGAGAAATTCTATCCAAAATAAATAATAGAGTGCCTCAGAATGCTAATAGCCAGAAAGGGGAAAGCCAGATGAAAGGAAGTCTTTCTCATTGTCAGCACTCAGTTCAATTTTTATTTTTTAAATTGATTCAAACAGTAAGGATATGGTACTTGGATATGGTACTTGGATAAGGAAACAAACTGGAAAGAAGATATACAGACAAATAGAAAGGGAATTCTTTCCAGATTGAAAGTGGACAACTGGTAGGCTTAGGGAATTCATGGGACAGGAAGAATATAGTTTGATTTTTCGCTTGGAAATTTCCAAAGAGAAAACTTTTTGAAGCACTGAAACCTATCAAAAACAAAGATTAGAGAGAATGTCACAAAGCTTGTTGATGAAAAGTAATGGGAGGAAAATGAGTGCTAAAAACTTTGAGACATTTACTTTGAAGACTTTGTACTTCAGACTCTCCTTATAAAACAAAATAACAACGTAAAAGACTACCATCTCCTCATAAGCGGGGGCGAGGGGGCAGGGGACTCTCAGAGATGTATTTATCCTCTCTATTCCACCAAGGAGGAAATGAAGAAAAAAAGTAATAATCTGATCAAAGGGCTTTCTTATTAGAAATTCTCTTTTTAGGTGTAAGGGCATACTAGAATCTTGTAGGTAAATCCCAAAGAGGTGTGAGGTTCTATGGCTTCCCAAATTTTCTATGATGAGGAACATAACCAATAAATAAAACCAATGAAGTGAGGAAAGGCTCAGCCTGGGAATCAGGGAAGGGCTTTAATCCCTAAGTATGGAGAGGCTGCTTCTCACACCTGCTTTCCAAAGGAAAGAAGTACACCATGATGTTTATGACTCATATCACCTTCTGAGAAATACTAAGTGGCATTTACTCATGGGTACTCACCTTGGTAGAAATGCAAAACAGGTTAACATACTAGCCTCACCAAGAAAATTATTCACCAAAGTATTAGTAAATAATCAAGTATCAGCTTTTTTTAAACTAAAAAATACATATCAAATGATGGAAACTGACAGATTGGTAGATCGGAAAATTTTTAATTACATGTTTTAAAAATAAGTCAGATGTCAATATAATATCACCACTTACTAGCCTAAATAAAATTTCTTAACGACTGTATTTGGCCCCTTACTATATATCTTCAATACAATCAAGCTTGACATTTTATTAGTTGATACTGTTTAAAGCAGCATGCCTAAAAAGAATGATAAAACAGGAAAGCCTTAATTTGTTAGTTCACTAGTTTGAAATCTATGCCTGCTATTTAATAATTGTGGATCCTGACAGGTCAGAAAGTAGGTAACATCAAGATAGTTATGAAACTAGTATACAGAAAACATGGAAAGGAGAAATAAAATAATGACTGTAAAAATAAAACAAGTGATCTTGAATTGCACTTGATTTCTGAGGAACCAGGAGAATGCAGAAAATATTAGCAAATTTATGCAAAACATAAAAGCAGAGACAGAAACATGTATAGCAATCAGACAAACAGCAATCTGACAAGCTGCTAATCTGAAAGTGGTACTCAACATGGAAGGACAGAAGCTGATAGCATATTTTTAGGAATTTATGCACAGGAATGAAAACACTGAACAGAGTTGAAAGAAACAGTGCCAATTATGAATATTATGTCCATCCTTTGGGTAAAATTTTGCCCTTTTCCTCTTTTAAGTCTATAGAGATTTCAGAATAAAATTTTGTTGAAGTTTAGGGCTAGGGGCCAGCAATTTACTGTTGTAACAATAGGGCATGTTGAAGCAGGGTATCAAAGTTGGATAGGATGCCCTCCGAGTGTTTTCTAGTCCTTTGATTCTGTATTTTTAATACTATCCAAGCACTACCTCTGAAAAAGATACAAAGAATTTTTGTGTATGTGACCCCAATTTATATTTTTATAGTTTAATATAGCATAAATCCAGGAAACACACTCCTACATGTGGGAGTTATAATTTGTTTGAAAATACTGTACTGCCATTATTGGCAGAAATAATAAAGCAATGTTATAAGTCACAACACTTTTTCTAAGCCATCTTTCTGAAATCAGCTGACAGAGGAAGTTAAAGTCTTAATTTTCCAAGATCCTTTATCTTTTGACATGCTACCATCTTTCTATCTCTGACTGTATCAGAGATTTTGGGAAAAGACTTTACAAAATTATTACCTTGTGATTTTGGTACACATACTACTATTTGTATTATCTATTTCACTCTAACACAAGTGAATTTTAGAGGTCTTCAGATTGGCCTTTCAAAATGGGTACTAAGTAAAAACTTACTTTCCAAATTTATCTAGAAGATTTACAACAACAAAAAATAAAAACCAGTCTTTACTTAGTATATGTAAGGAGAATTTTCATCCTTCTAATCTATCTGTTTTTAAAGTAACATGTTTGGGCTATCAAGTTATGCCAGAAGGTTGATGACATTCTCCATATATTCAGGTTGACAATAATTCCACAGTTTTGATTAGCTTCTCAAAGTAAAACTAAATTCTAAGAACGTGTATATGTATGAAAATATATATGTGTGTATATATGTAATGTGTATATGTGTGTATGCATATAATCTATATGGCTCTGTGGAAGAAACACATTTGGTTATCAATTATTATCAGAGTTCCTTATCTAATAATACATCATTAATTTTTTATTAACAGTCCAGGATTTGTTTAGCATCACGTTTAACATTTTGAAAATCAAAACATTAACTTTGTTTGTTCTCAGGATAGTACTATTAAAAGAAGATCTCTAACATCAGTGGTTAATACTTTTTACTTACAAAACAAAAACTTTTGAAATTTCACTGTGGAACTTATTCTATTTACATTTTTAAACACTGAGAATAACTAATGTATATAGTATCCTTGTATGCTAGTATGTTCATATGGCTTACTGGTCTCATGAAACAATTTGACTGATAAACATATTAATTATGGTTTAAAAATAAATACCCTATTTGACTCACCAGGAAAAACTTTGGGTCTATGTCCTATTATATCTGTTGCTGCTTCTGCAGCTACTGAGCATGGAAGACATTTGGAGATGGAATAGAAGAGGGAAGAGAGATTTATTAGGGTAATGCCAATATTTATGGTTATGGCTTTTCTCCTTCTGTTCTAAAATTAGGAAGTCAGTGAAAGAACTGAAAATGAATATAAGAAGGATTTTTAATACTACTACAGAAATTTTAGTAGTAACACTTAGGATTTCTTCTGTAACTTTTGAAAAATGGCTTTCTTCCCTACCTATTTTCCAATTTTATATTAAGACTTGGTTTTAGAATCAGAATTTGAAGTTTTCCTTTGGTGTAAGAAATAGTTTTGCTTTTTATGAAAACAATTTGTCCTTTTAAAAACTAATAACATATATAATTGAATATATTGGTAACATATAAGAAAAGGTAAAAAGATTAAAGCATTCGAAGGACACTAAAATACAGTGAAATATCAGTCAGTGTTATGGGATCATATCAGAGGTGAGCTCTTCTTTTATCAAAACAATTCTATTAGGTGATCCATATTATATAAGATTTGGTGCCAAATGGCTTATGTTATAGGAAGGTTACAGCATTATCTCAAATATTAAAAGAAAAATTTTAATGTAGTTATAATAATCACATGAAAAGGCAAGAATACTGATCATGTTGATCATGCTGGTATTTCCGATATTTGGAAAATGTTATAAAAAAGTATAGGTACTATTCAAATTTTGAAAACTATGGCAGAAGCAGAATTAAATAGAATAGCATTAACAAATAGACAAAAACATATTAAGTGACAAAATAGCAAAGTGGTAGAACTGAATCATTAAGATTAAATATATACTAAAAGGCATTCAAGTATTAAAAATTCCATTAGAATTAGAAATGACTCCTTTCCTAAATATTAAAATAGATGGCAAAGAACATGAAACATAACTTCTAAAATGTTAAGAACACAAAACAGAAAATGAAAGACACCTCACTATTCTCATTGTGGTTATTATTTATGGAATGGATAAAACATGTAGAAAATGTTACTACAGTTAGATTAACACATTAAAAAAACAACAACAGGTCACATCTACCTAAATAATTTTGTAGAACAGCTGAAGAAGCAAACTTCATCAAATTTAGACAGTTTATAGTGGAATAAGTAAGTATGGCGAGGTATTAACTAACCCTAAGTTTCACAATGGGCAGCTTCTAGCTGGTTTGTTGAAGCTGGATCTTGGTCACACAAGGATCCTTGGACAAGAAATCAGTTGAGCTGGATGAGAGCTGCCCAATTGTCTTAATAATGAATGCTCCACACTGTCTGTTAAGTAAAGAGAAAGAAAATATAGATCAAAAAGACTGAATGGGGAAAAAAAAAGTTAGAGTAGATGAGTGTAGGACATCAATGAACATTTAGTAAATACTTACAGAACATGTGATACTAACTGTATTGATGAGTTATGAATTGAAAGGCTAGAGTTTAGGAGGGTTTGAGAACTCAGGAAAGGCTTGCTCTCCCGCTCTCTGAGAGCTTACAGTCAATTTTATTATTTTTTAAAGTAAGCTTTTTCAAGTACAGTTGACATACAATATATTAGTTTCAGGTGTATAAAATAGTGATTAGGCATTTATATAATTTACAAAGCGATCACCCTGATAAATCTAGTACCCATTTGATTCCATATATAGTTATTATAATAATGACTATATTTCCCATGCTATATACTTTACATCCCCATGACTACGTATTTGTAACTACCAATTTGTACTTCTTAGTCCTTTCCTTTTTCCACCTATCCCCCCAACCCTGCTCTCATCTGGATATCCTCAAAATGTTTTCTGTATCTATGAGTTTGGTCATTTATGTTGTTTTTTAGATTCCGTATATAAGTGAAATCATATGGTATTTGTCTTTCTGACTATTTCACTCAGCATAATACCCTCTAGGTCCATGTTGTTGCAGATGGCAAGATTTCATTCCTTTTTATGGCTGAGTAATATTCCATTGTATATATGTACCACTTCTTTATCCTCTCATCTATTGATGGACACAAGATTGCTTCCATATCTTGGCTATTAAAATAATGCTGCAATGAACATATGGATGCACATGCTCTTCTTGAATTAGTGTTTTGGGTTTCTTCAGATAAATACCCAGAAGTGGGATTACTGGGTCCTTCTTGTCTCTTGTTATAGTCTTTGTTTTAAAGTCTATTTTGTCTGTTAGAAGTATTGCTACCCCAGTTTTTTTTTTTATTTCCGTTTTCATGAAATATCTGTTTCCATCTCTTTACTTTCAGTCTCTGTGTGTCTTTCGATCTGAAGTTAAGTCTCTTGTAGGCAGCATATGTAAGGGTCTTGTTTACTTATCCATTCAGCCATCCTATCTTTTGGTTGGAGCATTTAATCCATTTACAATGAAAGTAATTTTGATAGATATGTAGTTATTGCCATTTTATTATTTATCTTTTTTATCTTTTTTTTTTCTTTTTCCATCTTAAAGAAGTCCCTCTAACATTTCTTGTAATACTGGTTTGGTGTTGATGAACTCCATTAGCTTCTTGCATGGGAAGCTCTTTATTTGTCCTTTGATTTTAAATGATAACTTTGCTGGGTAATCTTGGTTGTAGGTCTTTACTTTGCACCGCTTTGAATATTTCATGTCAATCCCTTTTGGCTTGCAAAGTTTCTGTTGAGAAATCAGCTGACAGTCTTAGGAGAGCTCCCTTGCAGGTAACTAACTGCTTTTCTCTTACTGCTTTTAAGATTCTCTCTTTAACCTTTGGCATTTTAATTATGATGTGTCTTGGTGTAGGCCTCTTTGGATTCATCTTGTTTGGGACTTTCAGTGATTCCTGGGCTTATATGTTTATTTCCTTTGCCAGGTTAGGGAAGTTTTCAGTCATTATTTCTTCAAATAGGTTTTCAATTCCTTGCTCTCGCTCTTCTCCTACTGGTACCCCTATGATGAGAATGTTGGTATGTTTGATGTTGTCTCAGAGGCCCCTTTATCCTCATTTTTTTGGGTTCTCTTGTCTTTTTCTCATTGGGTATTTTCTGCTACCTTATCTTTTAAATCGCTGATTCTATCCTCTGCTCCATCTAATCTGTTGTTTCTCTTTAATGTGTTCTTCATTTTAATTATTGTCTTCATTTCTGACTGGTTCTTCTTAGTTTTCTATCACCATTTTTATGTTTCTTATCTCTGTTGAAGTTCTCATTGAGATCATTGGGTATCCTTATCACCAGGTATTTTTAACTATCTGGTAGATTGCTTGTCTCCATTTTTGTTTAATTCTTTTTCTGGAGCTTTGTTCTGTTCTTTATTTGGGATGTGATTGTCTTCTCATTTTGGCTGCCACTCTGTATTTATATGTACTAGGGAGAGCTACTATGTTTCCTGGTCTTGGTAGAGTGGCCTTGTATATTAGGTGTCCCATGGGGCCCAGTGGTGCAGTGTCCCTAGTCACCTGAGCTGGGTGCTCCAGGTGTGTCCCTGGTGTGGGTTGTGTGTGTTCTCCTGTAGCAGTTGAGCCTTGATTGCTGTTGGCACATCAAAGGGAGGGATTGGCTCTCACGCTGATTGGTTGTGAGGACTGGCCATTACTACAGTGGAGGAGCTGTAGTCCAAGGGCTGATCCTACGGAGCAGGATTTGATTTACAGGGACTATGGTACCTGCCAAGTTTGCCCTTTGGGTGTGTCATTTGTGGATATGGTTGGGTGGTGTTCTGGTGTGGTCTGAACCTGGCCACCAGGTGTTTTGGTTCTGGGGCCTCTTAGGAGAGACTCTCCTGCAGGCCAAGGTCAGCTGCTGCCTGTGGCCTGCCTGGGGCCACTTGACTTGAGCTACAAAGTGATCTGAAGATGGTTGCCACTTGTGCTAGGGTTGGAAGTGCATGGGAGAGGCTAAGCTGTGAATTGAGAATGACTGCTGCTAGTGCTGTGCTTAGGGCTGCTTAGCAAGAGGTATGGGGCATGCTGAGGCCAGATGCTGCTTGTTTGGGGTTTGTGTACCTTTGAGAGATTTTATGAAAGTCTGCAGCTTGAGTCAAGACAGGCCACTTGTATGGAAAAGCCACTGGAAGCAGCTAGGTTAGGCCTGCAAATTGGGTGGGGTGGGGGGAATGGTGTTAGCTAGATTGGTGGACTCAGATATGGTGCCCACCTGTGCGTGAAGGCTGGGTGGGTTGAGGGTCACCAAAGGAACAGTGTTCCTGCCAGCACTTCTGTCTGTGAGAAAGCTGCTCCTCCAGCCCTCGCCCTGCAGCCAGACAATTCGGTTCCCTGCTGTATGTCTCCAGTGCTTTTTGAGCTGATGCCCCAGTGCTGGAGCCCAGAGTGAGTGAGTCCATCAGTAAGTAAGTCTGTAATGTGGGCCCTTTAAGAGGAACGTATGGGACTCCAGCAGCCTTCCATCTCATTCAGTGACTATCTCCACTGTTTTTCACAGCCAAAAGTTATTGGGACTTCTCTTCCTGGCACTGGAACTCTGGGCCGGGGAACCTGGTGTGAGGCTGGGACCGCTTGCTCTTAAGAGGGAATTCTGCAGCCGAGATAGCCCTCCCAACTTCTTTTTTTTTTTTTTTTAAGATTTTTGTTGGGGAATTGGAGGATGGGAACAGTGCTGGGGAATTGGGGGAAGGGTAACAGACAAGTTGCTGTCTTTTTGTTCTTCAGTCTAGTTGTGGAGGACGTTGCTTCACTGGCCCAAGTTGGCACCATCATTGTGCTCTTCCCAGGTGAGGCAGATCCGTCACCGGCTTCTGGACGGCCACTCACTGCGGCTGCTGGCTACACACGGTAGCCCATAGCAACCCATTGCCACAGGGGCTGCAGCCTACGCCGTCGCCGGCGACTCACGGCAGCCCAGCTCCAGGTTGAGCTGTTGTTCAGCATCTTAGCTGTAGAGGGCAGTATCACTGGCCCTCATATGTGGGATCCGAACCGGGGCCCTCTGGCGTCCCAAGCCAGTTCTTAACCATCGCGCCACTCAGCCAGCCTGCCCTCCCAATTTTTAACCGCCACGTGTGGGTGTCTCCATTCCATGTCTCCATCCGTCCTACGACTCTCAATGTGGCTTTTTCTGTATATTCTTAGTTATAGGACTTCTGTTCAGCTAGACTTCAGGTGGTTCACAATGATGGTTATCCTGCAGTTTAGTTGTAATTTTGATGTGGTTGTGGGAGGAAGTGAGCACAATCTTTACCTACTCTGCTATCTTGACTGGAAGCCTCTTACAATCTAGTTTAGACAATCTCTAGTCTAGTGCCACAGTATAAATGTTTAATATATCAAATGAGGTGTTAACAGGTCAACACAGAAACAAGTTGAGTTATAACATTCCTTTTATTTTTGAAAACATTATTAGGTGGGTTTTAAAAACATGTTTTTAAAAGGGGAGTAGAGTTTGGCTGAAGACTATTTAGAAAGTTGTCTAAAACCCAAAAGTACCCTTCAAGCTGGCATTGATAGGACAAGTGTACAGGTATCTATGTCATATAACACAGAGTAATTCCATATATGTGTGTCATCCAGAGATTTTTTTTTTTGGTGTGTGTTAAGATTAACTTGGGTCAAAGAAACAACCTAATTGCTATTACCTTTCTGGTATTTAGGGTATAGGCCAGCTCTTAATTTAGGGAACCAAGCTGTCCTATGACATATTTTAAATTTTGGATAGGCTCAAATTTTTCAATATTTGTTCCAATATCTCTAGAGCAGTACTATCTGATAAAACTTTTTATGTTGATGGAAAGGTTCTATATTTACACTGTCAAAAATGGTACCCACTAACCACATGGGACTCTTTAGCACTTGAAATATGGCTAGTTGCAACTAAGGAACTGAATTTTAAATTTCATTTAATTTTAATTAATCCAAAACTAAAACTAACTAGCCTCATGTGGATAGTTGTTACCATACTGGGGACAGCATGGCTCTACGGTTTTAAACTTGTCTGGTTTGCTAAACTCTGTAGACTGGCCTATTCAATACTGTCCAATTGTACTTAGTACTGTTCACTGCTTTAGTCTCAGTGTCTAGAATACTCTAGCACCTGGTAGGTGCTCAATAAATATTTGGTAAAAGAATGAAATCTATTGTGGTAATATATAGCTATTAATGCCTAGTCAACTACTCATAGCTTATTGGTAATATGCTCTGGTCCTCTCAGGAAAAAGAGAAAAGTGAAGTTAAACTTTTCTACGTATGTGGAATTACTGGGTGGGATGCTCAATATACTTAGAGAGAACAGGAGTGGTGCCAGCTTCATAATAGCTCAAAGAAAAGAAATACAAATAAGTTGTAGTATATGAATAAC